ACTGAGTACAATATTGTATAACTGTATTAATTCAATGATAAACCTAAAAATTTAAAGCCAATTTTGAAGGAGATGCATCTTAGCTCTGGAAATTGTTATTGAATATGTCAATGCTGTTGTAATGAAATGCTTCTTCTGATTGTGTGGTTATTAAACAAATAATAAAAAAAAATTCACCACAGAATAAAGTGTAAAACTTCATGGGTCATCAGGCCTGGTGACACATACCTTTAGTCCCAGCATTTGGGAGGCAGAGGCAGATGGATCTCTGTGAGTTCAAGGCCTGCCTGGTCCACACAGTGAGTTCCAGGTCAGCTGGCGGTACAGAGAGACCCTGCCTCAAAAAGACTAAAACCAACCAACCAACCAAACAGCAAACAAAAACTTCATGGGTCAATATAAGCTAGAAAAATACCAACAAAATACTGAAAGGGCCATTTTGACAAAATTAGCCAAGTATCCGTGGACTGTCGCTTTCATTTACAATTATAATTCAGATAAAAGGCTCCTGGTCTTTTTCAGCCACTATTAGAATTAAAGACAGGCTGAGTAGGTACCTCAGAGGTACAGTACTTGCCTAGTATGCCAAGACTCTAGGTTCAATACCCAGTACTGCAAAAGCCAAGCAAAACTCCTAGAATTAAAGACTGAAGTTGTTATCATTTACTAATAAAAGCTAATCATTCTAGGCATGGTAGAGTATGCCTGCAACTGGATCACTCTGGAAGCTCAGAAAGTAGGCAAGCTGAATTTGAGGCTAGCCTGGACTACACAGTGAGTTCCAGGCCAGCCTGGGCTACTTAGTGATCCAATCTCAAAAAAATCATGAAAATGAGAAGGTAAGTTAATAATCCTAATGTATGTAATAGCTAAAAGACAGTAGTCTAAGAGAAGTCCACTAAACCAGTGACAGAAAAAAAAAAAAATCCTTAAACAAGAATATGTTATTTCAGCTTTGCAATGTGTAACATGAAAACTTGATGGGTGGAGGACCTAGAAACAACAATATGGTTTTACTAAGTTTTATATTGAAGTAAAAAGTTTTGAAATTTTAATATTACAAGAGTTAGAGGCTGGAGTCAGGCATGGTGGCACACACCTTTAATCCCAGGATCTGGGAGGCAGAAGCAGGCACATCTCTGTGAGATCAAGGCCAGCCTAGTCTGCATAACATTTCCAGGCCAGTTGGGGCTACAGGGAGACCCTGTCTCAAACAAACAAACAAACAAACAAACAAACAAACAAGCCAACAACAAAAAATCAACCAAACAAAAATGGTAAGAGGTGGCAAAGATAGCTCAGCAGTTAAGAGCACTGACTGTTCTTACAGAGTTTGGTTCCCAGAACCAACATGGCAGCAGCTAATACCTGTCCTTAGGGAATCCAGCACCCTGTTCTAGCCTCTGTGGGCACTGTATACATATAGTGTACTTATATACATGCAGCGAAAACACAAAATAAAAATAAATAAAATTCTAAGAGTTAAGGATAGATGAAGTTTCATCCAGGTTGACCCATGTAGGTTCAAGTAATCCTTCTGCTCAGCTTCCTGAGTGTCTAGGTCAATCAATATCCATCACCTCCAGTTTACAGCTAGTATTTAGAAGTCTTTTTTCTTTTAACCCGCATGTATATAAATATAACACCCTTATAGGCCAGAAGAGGGTGTCAGATCCCCTGGAACTGGAATTGCTGACAGTTGTTAGCTGCCTTGGGTGTGGGGAACTGAACCCCAGGTCTTCTGCAAGAAGAGTCAGTGCTCTTAACTGCTAAGCTCTCTCTCCAATCCTCCAAGTCTTTGCTTAACCATACTTTTATTTTTACTTTAAAATCTGTTTTCTTAAATTTTTTACTTAAGTTTTTGTATGAAGATTTCATACATAAAATCATCTTTATACTCCCTTCTCCCTTCCCCTTTGGTACCCTCCTATAGCCCCCCACTGGATTTCATACCTTCTGTCATTTGTGTTAAGGCCTATCATGTAAAGTTAATGTCACCAGATGTCCTTCAATGCAAGTTCATCCCCTGGGATCTGATCAGTCTATCTAGAGTCCCTCCCTTTATGTTCAGTTCATTCTCACAAGCAGTAATCAGCTGCCAATAACTCTTTGACTAAGATTAAAGCCTGTTGTTCATTTCCACAGTTCTGTGCTGCGTTTTTTGTCTGCATAAGTTTGCATGGATCTTGTGCATGCTGACACCACTACTGTAGGTTCTTATGAGAAGAGTCCTGTAGGACTATTTCCGTATAGTCACGCACCTCCTTCCTGGCTCTTATAATCGTTCCGGCCCTCTTCCACAATGATCCCTGAGCCCTTCTGGGTGGGTGGATTAAAGATTCCTGTCCAAGGACCCACTCTGTAGGCTCTCATTTTGACCATTTGTGACTTTTTTCATTCCTGGCCCTGTGGCATGAGGGAGCTTCATCGATGAGAACTGAAAGATGCACTAGTGTTCTCTTCATCCCTTGTTCTATATTACGTGAGCCTTAGGTATAGAGGTTACATCCTAGATGTGCCACTTTGGCTTGGGGAATTCACAATCTCTGTGTGTGACCAGTTGTAGAACTCTGGTAACTCTATGTCTCTTGAAAAAGAAGCTTCTTTGGTGGGTGGTGAATGGACACTTGTCTAAGATTTAAGGAAACATGTTTGTCTAGGGATGTGACAGCCTTGGAGTTTTCTCTAAAAATCTATGACCACTCTAGCTATGTGTACTTGACTAGGTTTATAGTACCACACATGAGTTTCCTTCCATTTAGTGGGCTTTAAGTCCAATTAGGTAGCTGTTGATTACCCCCAACATAACTTTTTTTTTGGCCTTTTTGAGACAGGGTCTCCCTATAGCTCCAACTGACCTGGAACTCACTTTGTAGAACAGGCTGGCCTTGAACTCAGAGATCTGCCTGCCTCTGCCTCCTGAGTGCTGGGATTAAAGACATACACCACCACGCCCAGCCTGATTACCCTCAAGATAAAAGTTCCACTACTGTACCAATGTCATTTGCTGTGCTGGTCACTGATGTGGTTTTGAAGCTGGGGTTGGGCCATCGACTGATGTTCTCTTAGCAGCTCTTGTGGTGCTCTCCAAAGCTATGAGAGCTAGCCTTCAGGGGAGGTAGCTTCCAGGTCAGTTCCAGCTCCAGTTCTCCAAACCCTGTGTCCAAAGTATGTCCTGTCCTTAGCAGTAGGGTCTATCAAATTCTGAGAGGCAATCAAGGACTGTGGTGATAGCCTGTGTACTTTTGGGAGTCTCTTGGACTACCCTGGCCAACAATTCAAAGGAAGGTTTCTGCTGTCTGGTACTGTTTCTTGTTATGTAGCCTTCAGCTATACTCACAGACTCATGCAGAGATACTGTATGTCTAATTTTTTCAGTAGGTTTTTGGACTAATACCATACCCTCTGGTTTTTTATACTAGCTAGGCACTATTTATCGCTTCTCTTTCCCTCTTTGTCTTATCCTCCTTCCATGTTCTCCCAATTTAACGTGTCCCCATTTGTCTTTTGATCATTTTGGCTATAGTCATACCTCTTGAGCTCCTTCTTCCCCTTAAGTCCCATAGTTCCTTGTATAGCCCTCTTTCTCCTCCTCCCATTTAACTACACCTTAAAATACCCATTTACTATCTCAGTTTCGGGAAGCCAAAAGTACAGGTAGCTGGGCATGGTGGTGTACACCTTTAACCCTAGTATTCGTGAGGCAGAGGCAGATGGATCTCTTTGAGTTCCAGGCCAGCCTAGTCTACATAGAGTTAGTTATAGGCCTCAAAATTTTAAAAAAGATATATAAACCATGAGCTGGCTGCCTTCTCATCTGGAATCTCATCAGGTTGTTGGTAGTATTTGATTCCTTGAAGTTACAGACGGAACAGCTGTCTTACAGGCTGGCAGCTGGGCTTCCTTAGCTCCTAGTAGCTATTACCATTCTTGCCATCCAGCTCCTCCATCTACATTCTTGTTTTTTGACACTCTCATCTCCATCTTCAGAGCCAGCAGCACAGAACCTTCTGGTTCCTCTCTTCAGCCAAACATTAACTCAACAGCCACTACTTAACTAGGATGCACCAAAGGACAATCAGGTATTAATCAAGGTCCTCCAATTGAGTCCTCCAATTTTTATGACAAAACTATACAGACATTTTTCAGTAGGCCTCCAATCATCCACCAATTCAAAGTAGTAAGAATTGTCTCACTGGATCCTCTTACTTCACAAAACTTTATTGTGTGGGGTGGTTGAGCACAAATCCTATTAATTTTTTAAATAGGGACAGGAATTTTGGATTTATTTTTATACTCTTTTATAATTTGAACATTCATTTTTAATACTTAAAAGATTTTAATTATCAAATATATTTTAACTCATTGTATTTCATGATGTTTAAACAGGCAATTTAAATACTACCCTAACCTTTTAAATGTCTGTCATAGTTTTCTTGAAATGAACTTGCCATAAAAGGCAGAAAAGAGGTCTTTATAAGGTGTATCTGAGTCTGATTTGGTCGGTGGGATCCGGCACAGCTGGCGAAATCCAGGAGAACGCAGCAGCAGGTTCTGTGACAGGCCCGTGAGGCTGGAGCACAGCCAGTACAGCACAAGTGACTAGAAAGAGAACAAGAAGGTCAGCACTTGCTTAAGGACAAGGTTCATATAAGCAGGCAATAAAAAAGGATGAACTCTGTAAATACAAGCATTCTGAACAAGCTATTAGATACCATGCAGGATCTACCAGGGAACAGAGAAAGTCTTTATGGTAGCAAGTAGCAGTTACTAGGCAGAGGCCCAGGAAACCACCCCTCCTCTCTTTAAATATTTAGCTTTTTTACTACCAAGTGGCCTGACAACTTGATTATACAGGTGGCAGGACTGTGGGGATGTGGCTATTTCCCATAGCAATCTTACCTTTCCTAGACCCCATTTTTCCCTTACCCATTTATCTTCCAAAACTTCCCCCAGTAACTAGTTTCTGTCCAGAAGAATGTTCATTTTCTTCTGAGGCAGTTTCAGCATTATCAAAAACTTTTCTTTTGTGATACAATTCAGGCTTAGGCCACCAGCTGAGCCCTGCAGCCTTTCAAAACATACTTGTACACACAACTGTTTTCGACTTTTCTTTTGACATTGGAAAGTAGTCAGGCCAGAAGCAAACCATATGGCTGCCGAGTCCAGCTTCTGGAGCGAGGCTGCCAGAGTCCAAATCCTGTTTGCTATTATTTGACTTTCTATCAGTTATTTTCTTGCTTCAGTTTCCTCATCCATAAAATGGGGACAGGAACTGTACCTATCTCAGAGGACTGTTGTGAGAAACAAATGAGATCATTCAGATAGAACTGGTGAGCACAGTACATGACTCACAACAAGTACCTGTATTTGTTCTAAAGCAAGGTCTCCAGGGACAGAAGCAGTGTATCATCAAAGGCAGACTGGCACAACAGTTCAAAACAAGAGCCAAAGTGCCCAGAAACGTGGTGAGACTAAGTAACTACAAACCTGGGAGTAGTTGTGTAAACTACCTGGGCCTCGGCTTCCTCATCACTGAAGCAGATGATAGTTGTACCAACCTCACTGTACTACTGGGGGAATTATGAAGTAATATGCATAAACCATTGATGAGTGCCTAAGGCTGGCGAGATGTTCTAGTTGTCGGTAAAGGCACTTGCCACCAAGTCCAACAACATGAGTTTAAGTCCTGGAGCTCACATGGTAGGAGAGAACCAACTCTTGCAGGTTGTCCTGTGACCTACACACACGTGCCATGGTACATGCACCCACACCTCTGGCACCATAAATAAGGGTTTTGAAAATTTTATTTTTATATGTATGTTTTGCCTACATGTATGGTAGTGTGTCAAGTGCATACAATGTCAACGGAAGTTAGAAAACAGCGTTGGATCCCCTGGAACTGGAGTTTCTGATAGTTGTTAGCCACCATTATGGGTGCTAAGAAAGAAACCAGGTCATCTGGAAGAGCAGACAGTGCTCTCTACTGCTGATCAACTAGGGGGAGTCTGGCTTTTTTTTTTTTTTTGAGAATGGGTCTGCCTGTAGCACCAGAAGGCTGGAATTTTCTATGCAGACCAGGCTGGCCTCAATCTCAAAGAAATCTGTGGGAAATATGTAAGGGACTGCAGTAACTGTCAAAAGAAACTTTTTTTTTTGTTTTGCTTTTTTTTTTTGAGATAGGGTTTCCCTGTAAAAAAGAAGTATTTGTTCCGTTTCTTTCCAAAGTTTAGTTAGACGCTGGGCATGGTGGCGCACGCCTTTAATCCCAGCACTCAGGAGGCAGAGGCAGGCAGATCTCTGTGAGTTCAAGGCCAGCCTGGTCTACATAATGAGTTCCAGGACAACTGGGGCAACAGGGAGACCCTGTCTCAAAAAGCCCCCCCAAAAAAGTTTAGTTAGGTGTAAATGGGATAAACACACTCACAGCAATGCTTCAAGGTTAACGACATAGGAATCCATACAGACTTTGGCACAAGGTTTTCTTTAAGTGCTGTATTCTCTGGCCTAGTCTATATAACAAGAAAGGTTCAATATTATTAACTAGTCAAATAGGGCAACTACAAGCTACACAGGGTGCTTTGCTAAAAGTTTAATAGGAGAGTTAGATCTATTCAAGTAAAGATTAATGAATTTGAGCCAATGCTCAGGTGTCACTTGGTGATAGAGATAGTAGTAACCACAAAAACTTCCATCAGTAAGGAGTCAAGTGGTAAGGTGAAACCCCAAAGATGCAGATCCCAGGCCGCAGAAGCTAAGCACATGCTATACAAAACGCTAGTGCCTACTTACTGAAGGTACTGTTGCAGCAACTGGAATCATCAACACTGATACAGCACGGACACAATTTGTAATGTACATTTGAAAACGAGACATTCCAGTCTTTTGGAGAGCAAAAATCTGAAGTAGAATACATAAACACAATGATTACTAAAATGCATATTAAATCAGACAAACTTTAAAATATATGCTGAAGTCCAGGCTTTGAAGTACACTCCTCCAAAGCTAGTATTTGGGAAATAGGAGATCAGGAACTCAATGTTACTCCTAGCTTACACACAGGAAGCTCCAGGGTAGCATGGACTTCAGGAGACCTTGTCTGAGGGCCCAAACGTCCATCAATAAAAGAGAGTGATTTTTTGATCAGCTTCCACCAATATTTTGAAAAGAGATGGGGGCTGCAACTCAGTGGGTCTTACTATGTAGGACATCTCTTACCCAGGTAATTACCCAGGTAATGAGATTATAAAAATGTTTTACCTTGCCTGGCAACCCTACATTTTCAGTGGTTACATAATCTTATACAAGTTTTAACCTTTTTATGCTATACACTTTCCCCCCTTTAAAATGAAGTTAATAATAGTATCTTCCTTACACGATTATTTGAAGAATTTGCTAATTCATGTAAACCACTTATAAAAATGCCTGGCACATGACAGATGTTAAATGATAGCTTTTATTAGTCATCACATGGCATATAGGAAAGGATTGCAGCTTGGACAGTAACTCATTTAGGCCTTCTGTTTTTTACTTCTTTCTTTCAACCTAATATTCACTGAACACCAACCACATCCAGAGCTGTGCTAGGTGCTCGTGCTGCTTAGGTTTTGTCAAACTGACACAAACTTAAGAGTTACTCCGGAAGAGGGACCCTCAACTGAGGAGTTTCCCAGATCAAACTGGCTTGTGACCATGTCTATGAGGCATTTTCTTAATTGCTAGTTAATGTGGGAGGGCCCAGCCCACTGTGGGCAGTGACATTCCTAGGCAGGTGGACCTGGAATGTCTAGGAAATGTGGCTGAGCAAGCCAGTGAGCAGTGTTCTCTATGGGCTGTTTCAGTTCCTGCCTTGGCTTCCCTTGATGATGGACTGTAACCTGTGAGCCACATAAACCCTTTCTTCCTCAAGTTGCTTTTAGCCATGGTGTTTATCACAGCAACAGAAAGCAAAATAGAATAGTGCTCTTAGGGAGACACATTTATACTGCATTTAGTCTTTCTTCACAAAATTTCACCTAAGACTTGAGATTTCCCTTTCCTTCTTTTTCTTTCTTTAAAAAAACAAACAAACAAACAAATAAAACAGGGTCCCACGTATCCTAGAGCAACCTGGAACTTGCTATACAGTAAAGATGATTTTGAATTTATAATCCTCTTTATAGTCATGTACCACCACGTCTAGTTTATACAGTGCTAGGGACTGATCCCAGGGATTCATAAATATGAGGTAAACTCTACTAACTGAGGTACATTCCCAGCCTCAAGACTTCAGATTTTACCAACTTTTTCTTCATCTGAAAAAAGCAAAACATATATTAGAGTTCCCAGTGATCACTAGACATGAGATCTGTGAGATTTTAACTGGGGTAAACAATTTTGATGGTTTCTTCTAGGTCAGTGTATGTTCTATTCAGATTCTGAGCTCTTTTAAAATTATATGCATGCTTTCTGTGAACTGCTAAGCAAAGTCATATAGGAAAAAGAGGTGACTGAGGGCTGGGGGCAAGGCATGGTGGCACATGATTTTAATTCCAGCACTTGAAAGGAAGAGGCAGGCGAATCTCTTTAAGACTGAGGCCAGTCTGGTCTAAAAAGTGAGTTCCAGCCAGGTGAGGTGGTACATACATTTAATCCTAGCACTCAGAAGACAGGTGTATCTCTGTGAGTTGGAGGCCAACTTGGTCTCCAAAGAGTTCCAGGCCAGCTGGGGCTACTGGGAAACCCTGTCTCAAAAAACCAAAAATCGAACAAACAAACAAACAAAGAAAAAAACAAGAGGTGACTGTTTCTACTTCATCTCATCAAGAAAATAAATTATAAGACATCAAGAGAAAATGGAAGTCAGGTACTGACTGTTCCTTACAGTAAATTCACATAATATATACAAAAATACATTACTCATAGTGGGATTAAAACTGATTGGCCAAGCATCTTAATTACATCTCTTTTTTTGAGAGATCTTATTATGTAGCCTGGGCTGGCTTGAGTTTTTGTCAATCCTCCTACTTCTGTGCCTGCCGCCTGAGTGCTGGGACTATAGGCTCGAGTAACCATGCCTGCTGGCTCAGTGCTTTTATTTTAACTACGAGATTTTGGACACCCAGAGAAGTAAAGGGACTGGCCTATGTCAAGAACTGATCGGGGACTAGAAACCACAAAGTGCCAGTTGTAGCTCAGAGCTACTTCCACCAACTCAAGCACATGTATACGTGATATCAGAACAGCAGCATCAGAAGTCCTAATGATTTAAATGGTCAGCAAATCCTACTGTAAAGCACTGACCTCCACTATTAATAAATTAACGACTCCAACGCAGACAGGCAGAATCCAAGTGGAATCCACCGCAGTGAGGTCAGGAAACCAGAGGATCCCACCAACAGCTAACTGCTCCTGAACAGAAAAACCTGCTAAAACAGTTCATACACAAAGTAAGAGTGACTAAGAGCAGCAGAGAGAAGCAGGAAGTTTGCAAACACAAGCGGTCCTACAATTCTAGTAAAGGTGCTCAATCAAAAGAGTGCCACTGCCTTAATTCAGGTTATCAGCACTCGCAATGTTTTCTGTTTTGTTTCTTTTTTCCAAGTTCTGTTCGCAACATATCTAGTCTGTTCACACTTAAGATTCTCTATTTCCCCAGTGCCAGGAATGGACTCCCTTTCTTGAAGCTGTTGACCAGGGAACCCACAGAACCCCAAACACTATTGGCCATTGTCCTTGCTCTTGGTTACCATCAGAACTGGATGGTCAGACCCTATTGCTGAAGACATTACAGATATGAGCTATAGAACAAATAAAGAGAAATCAAGCTAGTGGTGATTGCAGAGCCTCATCTCTAGTGGCCAGCTTTCGTATTGTTGGAAGGTGCTACGCAAGCACCTGAAGAGAAATTTAACACAAAATTCACCCAGCTGTGAATCCTGTGAACTATAACAACTGGCCTAGCAAAATATGCCCACTGGTGCAATAGTGTTACCAATATTATGGGAGTAAACCACTTTCTAATTGGATTTAAAGTCTACTTCAAGCAGGGCATGAAGCACCTAGCACTTGGGAGACAGAGGCAGGAGGATCTCTGTGAGTTCCAGGCCAGCCTGGTGTACATAGCAAGTTCCAGGTCAGCTGGGGCTACAGGGAGACCCTGTCTCAAAAAGACCAAAAAGAAATAAAAAATGAAAAAATAAAGTCCACTTCACAGGTTGGAGTCTATACTTGACAATGATTATCAGGCTTATGAATGTGAGGCTACTAGATAGGACACAGGCATAGGAGTGAGCCTACTACTAGCTTTCTACTAGTTACAGAGTTAAACTGACTTCTCACGACTTATTATTATACCCATAGATTAAAGTATTGCTTAACTCTGACCAGAGAAATTTCCTCATGCAACAGATGGTGATTGAATTTCAACTGGCCAATGTAGAGAGAACAAGAGGCTGCAGAGTACTTAACCCTGAATAAGACACTTATATTAAACTTCTGCCTCCCAAGGCTCAAGGATCATTGGAAGAGGAAGCAGAAAAGGTGTAAGAGCCAGAGATGGATGATCACAAAGTAACGGTTTTCTAGACAGTCAGTTAATGATATGAACTCAGAGCAATGGTGAGAGCATATACAAGTCCCATGGAAGCTCAAACCAGACAAAAATCACAGCATAGACATGGGGAAGTGGGTAAGAAATCTCAACCCAACCTAAGGAACTTTTGGCAACCAATGGTTTTTAAGGGGATTGGGGGGGGGGGAGATAATCGCTTTTAAGGATGAGACTCTTGGTAGGCTCCAGAGGATAGACCCACAGGGAAGGACATTTGAGGACACAAATGAGGCCTATCATATATATATAATAGAGTAGATTAAATTGGGCAGAGAAGGCAGTAAGGGGAGGTACAGATAGGGGAGAAGATCTAAATACCATCAAATTGTATTGTATGAAAACCACAAAAACTCAATAAAGAAAACAGTGAGCAGAACAGTAATTGATGTGACCTAGATCCTCTCCCCTGAAGAAGACTCTAAATTTGGGGGGCTAGAGAGATGGCTCAGAGGAGAGAAGGCTCAGCAGTTAAGAGTTCTTCCAGAAGACAGTTTTGGTTCCCAGAACCTATGCAGTGGCTCATAACCTCTGTAACTCCAGTTTCAGGGGATCTGATGCCCTCCTCTGGCCTCTGTGGGCACTGGACATACAACATGGTATACTTACATACATGCAGAGAAAAATCACTCATATACATAAAATAAAAATAAGTAAATCTTAAATAATAAAAATGTATTTTGAAAACTAATTTTGTTCCTATTGGAATGAACATTAAAGAAACTTGAGATGGAGTTCTGTAATAATCACCTTCTGAACAAGATGCCCCTGTGCTGAAATTGCGGAGGGCAACAGATATGAAGATCCACATTGGAAGCTGGACCCAGACCACCACAGTAGCTTTGAAAGGATGGCAGTTATCACGAACATACAGCTCCGAAACAAGCCTCCTCATATTCTTTAGGTATGTAAGCCTACAGTGTAGGTGGGAAAACAGAAAACATCAGTTGACTACTAGTAGGGTTTTAACCCACAACACAAACACGCCCACTCTGTGGGTATGAGCTGAAAAATCTGGACAGGGGTTTGAAATGTCATAAAACTGTCATGGGTACCACAGCTAAACAGAAAGCAAAAAAAATCTATTATTGAAAAAGGCCAGACTATATATAACCTTGAACTCTATTGACCTTTGGCCAATTAGATGCCTTTTTAAAAAAACTTTTCCTAGATAGAACTCCTATATTAAACCTCTGCCACCCAAGGCTCAAGGACTATGATGAAAGAGGAAGCAGAAAGACTGTCAGAGCCAGAGGTAGTAGATGACCACAAGATTGAGAACTTGCTCATATGAACTTACAGCAATGGCAGAGCATGCACAAGACCCATCCAAACTCAAAATAGACAAAAACCCAGCACAGAAGTGGGGAAATGGGTAGAAGTGCCAACCTTAGCTGAGGGACTATAAGCAACTGATCACTACTGAGTGAGGGTTGGTCTTCTTTAAAGAAGTGACACTAGATAGGCTGACCAGTGGATGAACTCACACCAAGGGACATGTAGGCACACAAACTTGATTCAATAGGTCTTAACAAATATGACAGAATGCATGAAATCTGGTGGGGGGCAGAGGCCTATGGGTGCAGAGTACATAGGAGAGGGGATCTAAATATGATTAAGATGTATGAAATACACAAATATTCAATAAAGAATTAAAGTGCTTTTTAGTATGTCTGCACCATGGACATGCCCAGGGCAGAGAAGGGCAGAAGAGGGCACTGGAGCCCATGCTAATGCAGTTACAGATGACTACGAGTGTTGAGAACCAAACCTGGGTCCTATGCAGGAGCAGTAAGCGTTAACTGCTGAACCATCTCTTCAGTTCCAACCAATCAGATTTTAAGGGGAAATTTTACTAGGTGTGGTGGCACACCTCGGAAATCCCAGCACCTGGGAAGCAGGATTAAGAGCCTGAGGCCACCCTGGGCTACATCATGAGATCATATCTCTAAATTAAACCAAACCAAACCAAATTGGAGGGAAGGGGCTACAAATACAGCTGAAAACACCTTTTACTAATAAATCTGTAGTCCAATCAAACAAGATCACTTGATCTTCTGAAGCCTCCTCTGAAGAAACTTTTATGTAGTTTATACTATGTATATATATTCTTGGACTGCCAAAATAGCCTCCACTCTTCTACCAACTTCCTAACAAAGATTCTGTTAACCTGTTTCTGTTTCCATATTAGTTAAGTCTTTTGTGGCTGTTTTTACAACATGGGCTCATGTAGCCCAAGATGACCTTGAACTTGAGATGTAGCCAAGGATGACCTTGAGCTTCTGATTCTCCTGCCTCACTCTGCAGTACTGAGATTACAGGAGGGCACCACCACACCTGACTCTACGACAGTTAGGTCTGTTCTTGTCTTACTTTCTAGACCACAGTCTTGAGAGATAATTATTGTTTTGAGATAGGAAAGATCTCACTGGCCCAGGCTGGCCTCCAAGATATAAGCCTCTTAGGTATGTCACTCAACTTGGCTCCTTTCTTACTCATTTTTTTTTGGGGGGTAGGGGGGGGTCTTTTAGAGACAGGGTCTCCCTATAGCCCCAGCTGGCCTGGAACTGACTATGTAGACCAGGCTGGGCTCGAACTCAGAGATCCGCCTACCTCTGCCTCCCAAGTGCTGGGATTAAAGGCGTGCACCACCACGCCCGGCTTTCTTACTCATCTTTAAACCTCTTATATACATTTTATATAAGGTAAGCATTCAATTTTTGTGTCAAATTTAATCAAATAATAATGTATTGAATTGGGACAATACACACAGACATTCTAGGCCTTTCTAGTCTCCCAGTTTTATCTGTACTTTATTTCTCTAGGGACACCTGCACATTCTGGTGCTTGAATGCCTTTAGGTCATCCAACAAAATGGACTACCACATCAGCTTATCTGTCGAAATATTTCATCTAACAAAGAACATTCACCTTTCAAGCCTATTACTAAACATGTGTTTTCCTACAAGACCACCACACAGCCATTTTTATCAGTGGAGCACACAGAAGGACTATAAATCACATCTAAGCTGTTCATACCCTAAAACAGGCACTAACATGTTTTTGGCCTATGGTTGTAGCTCTCAAGACTTCTCTTACCAGCAAAATTTCAAAACTATAGGCTTAGGATTATCAACTAATTAATTTTACAAATAAAGTACTACAATGTTTTCTTAAATGTCAAGTTTTTTTAGCACTAAATAAAAATGGGCAAAGCTCGTATTAAATATAGCAATCTGGCACAGTGGTGCATTCCTATGATAGCGTCAGATGGCTGATGCAGGGGGATGGCTAGTACAAGCCAAACCTGGGGGCTACAAACTGAGACCATTAAAAACAAAAAACAAAACGGGGCTGGAGAGATGACTTGGTGGTTAAGAGCACTGACTGCTCTTGCAGAGGACCTGGGTTCCATTCCCAGCACCCATATGGCTGCTAACAATCATCCCTAATTCCAGTTAAGGGGATTGGATGCCTTCTTCTGACCTCCATGGGCACTGCACGACACAGGTGCATTTATATATGTGCAGGCAATACACTCATACACATAAAGCAATAATAATAAATTAAAAAAAAAACAGGACGAAAACCAGAAAATTTATACCTACTAACATGGAAAACTTTTCTTGGCACTGATTATGACTTAATTCCTTGTGCTACATCTTTACATAATATTTAATTCACTGCCATCATCTCTATTTGGTCATAGCCCTGTCTTTTCAGTGGGTTAAGATCTCTCAAGAATAGAAGCCAGGCAGGGTGTTGTGGTGCATGCCTTTAATCCCAGTACTTGGGAGGCAGAGGCAGGAGGATCTCTGTGAGTTCAAGGTCATCCTGGTCTACATAGTGAGTTCCAGGACAGCTGGAGCTACAGGGAGACCCTGTCTCAAAAAGACCAAAAAAGAAAGTAAAAAAGAAAGAGAGAGCAAGAGTGAGAGCTACAGAGAGCAAGAGAGAGAGAGAGAGAGAGAGAGAGAGAGAATAGAAGCTAGGGATGGTGGCACAGACCTATAACCCAACATCTGGGAGGTGGAGATAGGAAGATCAGGAGTTCAAGGTCATCACTGGCTTCATATGGAGCTGAAGACCAACCTGGGCTACCTGAGACCGGTCAATAAACAAATAAACAAAACAGGTACAAAGTCAGGCAGTGGTTTGCACCTGCTATCCTAGCATTAAGAGGCTGAGGTGGGAAGGTCACTGGAGCTCAGGGTTAGGATCAGACCTTTGTTTCTTCATTTATTTACATTTACTATATATAAAACTACCTTGCCAAATAGTGACTAATGAATATGAATGAGCAAATCTACAAAATACCTAAATCTATAATCCCACCATTTACACACTGCATAATCCCTTCAAAGGTTACATGCATAAAATTACATACCTGGCAACTCTTTTGGACCAACCAAACTGGTTTGCATAAACTCTAACTTCTTGGTTAAGGTGCTTGGCAAAACTTTTTATTTCTGGTTGCAAATTTTCCACCTAACTGAAGAAAAAGTAGTTTTTATGAGCACATAGAGAATCCTTATTGATAATCACTCATAATTTTATCCTCTGTTTCCTCAACTTATTTACAAATGTGGTTTATCGATTTCAAGAAAGTTTAAGCAGGGACGAGCATGGTGGTGAATATGGTGGTTCCAATATTTGGGAGGCAGAGGCAGATGTAGCTCTGTGAAATTGAAGCCAGCCTGGTCTCTATAAGCAAGTTCCAGACCAGCTGAGGTTTAGGCCATCTGATCTAATCTTTTAACACCGTTCAGCAGCCAAGAAAATGTACTGCTATACTGAACCCACAGAAAAAAGTGAAGCCCTAAAATATCAAGTCCCTGGTATAACGAATCAGACACAGGGTTGTGTATGGCTGGGCAAGAGTAAGAAGTCAAGTTGCGAACTGGAGAGTTAAGAGCACTGACCGCTCTTGCGCAGGACCAGGCTCGGTTCCCAGCACCCACACGACAGCTCACAGCCATCTGTATTTCTAGTTCCAGGGATATCATGCCCTCTTCTGCCCTTCAAGGGCACTAGGCATGCACGTGATGGTACAGACACGCATGCAGGCAAAACAATCACATACATAAAAAGAAATCTTTAACCAAGTACTCGGGAGGAAGTGGCAGGCAGGCAGGTAGGTCTCCGCTGAGTTCGAGGCAAGCCTGATCTACAAAGAACAAGGGGTACAGAGTGAGACCCTATTTTTTAAAATAAAATAAAATAAAATAAAATAAAAAAGCAGAGAAGAAACTGAAGGCTCTCCAGGTAAAAATTTTTGCGACGCTGTTATAGGCGTCTTCATTTCTCCTGCTGATTGGTCTTCATCAAAAGCTAGAAAACTTGTTCTTTGAGTACGCAGCGCAAATGAAGTGGCAAGTACTAAGGTCACCAACCATGTCTCATTTACCATACGCAATGCTAGCCGAACTATTTTAACAATGGAACGATGAACACCGAGCACTTGGGCAGCACGGCGAGCGAAGGCCCTCACCTTAGCCAGGATGTAGTGCTGGTAGGCGGCCAGGGGCAGGGTGACCGCGCAGCGCAGGGCCACGGTGCTCAGCAGGATGCTGCCCCACCAGGGCAGGCCGACGGCGGCGTGCGTGCCCAGCAGCACTTCCTCCGCTGCGCGCACGGGCGCCGATGCGGCCAGGGCCTCATACCAGTCGCCCTCGCCCGCTGCTGACACCGACGCGGCCGCCCAGGCGGGGAAAGCTGGGATCCTCACGCCGCGACACAAGGGCGGCGCACCCCTACGCTGGAGCAGCTCAACGGGCCCCGACCGCGGCCACAGAGCTCCCAGGCGGCGCAGCATGGTGGGCGCGGACCAGCAGCGGACGGCACGCAGGACCGCAGCGCTCAGGCGTCAGCGGCGCTGCACTAAAGCCAAGTGCGCACCCGACCGCTGCCACAACCGACATTCCCCGTCAAGGCGGTGACGAATACGGCGCACAGGCGATGACGCAGGAAATAGGGAAGTCCCGCCTTTCCCACGCGGCACCGGGGACACTTTCCCGCTGTTGGGGCGGAGCTCCTCACTGACCGAACCGGAATAGCAGAGCCGGGGCGGGGCGTTCCCAGGGAAACCACCCTGATTGCTTATTTCAGTGTGGCGTTTCTGGTTTGTGTGTCCGTTTTATGACCTGATTGCTCCCGCTGTAGAGATGAGCGTAGCATCTAGTTCCCAGATTGAACGCATTGCAGAAACACCTGAGAGCTGCTTGTGTTTCTGGTTCGCCCCGACTATTAATCTACATAATTCTACCCCGATTTCACTGGCTTATCTGTTTAAAGATCACTATTGACAGCACGAATTTTAAAAATATATCATGGGTGTTTAAAAACTTAAACAGCAGCTATACATGTCCCCCAGTTAAAAGGAATACATAGAAGCAACACGGACTGCATAGTTTTCTGTATCTCTTGTTTAATTTTAAGAGAAACCAGTTGCTATTGTCTACTAATTTCAAGTGAAAATCATTTCAGTGTTAAGTGGACATCTGTGTAAAAACCATGTAAGGAAGTGAATTGTTTCTACGTTGTCCTTCCAGGAAACTGGTGACATTGAATTGGTCCTTCCAAAGTGGTCTTAAAACTCGGGAGGAAGTTATATTTATTCTATTTTATATGTATGAATGTATTGCGTGCATGTGTGCACATGCACCCGTGTCGTCAATGCCCGCGGAGATCAGAAGAGGGCGTCTTATCCCCTGGAACTGGAGTTATGGTTGTCAGCTGCCATGTGAGTGCTGGGAATCGAACCCAGTTTCTCTGCAAGAGCATCCAGTGCTCTTAACCGCTGAGCCATCTCTCCAGCACAGAGGGAGGTTATTTAAAACAAAACGTGCGCGCGCGCGCGCGCGCGCGCACACACACACACACACACACACACACGTTCAGGTCCTTAGTCCTTACCTTCTACCTTGTTTGAGATAGGGTCTCTCTGTTTTTTACCTACCCCAGCTCCCTCCCTCCCCCAAGCCTCCAACCTTAAAACGCTTATGCAGGGCTTGTCATGTAAGGATTTCTGGTAAGCCTAAATAAACCTCTTTTCTGTGTAGCCATATTTACGGATTTATTCACAAAATCCAAACCAAAAATTTCAGGCGTTATTCAAATCCTTAAAACATTCTAGGGAGGTTTATAAGGAGTAAGAATTGAGAGTATTGTGACAAATTGCAGTAACATTACATTCTCCACTTAAAAAGTATTCTTGCATGATGATGACAGACAACTGTAATCTGTCAAGACAGAGGAGGATCACTATATACCCAGTCTCAAGCAGGAAAGCAGGCAGGACATGTAAGCATGTACACACACACATTTTCACACTCTCACACTTCTTAACCAGGTACGGGATTTTCAGCAGCTGGGAGACTGGAGCAGGAAGAATATGAGTTTCAAGATCTTCAGAGTGAAACCCTGTCCCCAGACCCTAAACTCAGGGAGTGGTGGCAAATGTGTATAATCCCAGAGGAGGCAGAGGTAGGTGGATCTCTGTGAGTTCAAGGCCAGTCTAGTCTACGTAGTGATTTCCAGGTCTGCTGGGGCTACGAGGAGACACTGCCTCAAAAAACAAAAAAACTAAAAAGACCAAAGAATTCAGTTATTCTTGGCCACATAGTGAATTTAAGGCTATTAGCAATCCTATAATAAAACAAAAGGCCCTCTACATAGTAATATGAACTAAATAAATTTTATTCAGATTTAGCATATGTTAAGCACAAATACTTTTTATTTTTATTATTATGCACATGTACAATGTATGTGAACTATGGAGATGACAACTGTAGGGAAGGCTTGTCTGAGGGTTGAACTCAGGTCACCAGCCTGGCACAGCAAGGCTTTTATCCACTGAGCCATCTCTATGTCCCCTATTTAATTTTACTTTTTAGTTATTTTGTTTGCTTGTTTTGAAGACGGTCACCAGCCTGGCACAGCAAGGCTTTTATCCACTGAGCCATCTCTATGTCCCCTATTTAATTTTACTTTTTAGTTATTTTGTTTGCTTGTTTTGAAGACGGTCTCACCACATAGCCCCTGGTGAAGAGCAGATTGATCTCATCTCAGAGATAGCCTCTGCCTCTAGAGTTCTGGGATTATAGGTGTGTGCCACAACATTCAGCCCAAGTGTTTTTTGTTTTTGCTTTTAATTAATTTTTATTTTGTGTACCTATGTACTAGAGTAGTAGGGAGATGGAGTCGCTTGTATGGAGGTCAGCAGGCAACTTCCAGGAGTCAGTCCTCTCCTTTCACTATGTGGGTCCCAGGGAGGAACCCAGTTGTTTGTCTTTACTACTGAGTCATCTTACAGGCACCCACCCATCTTATTTTTTAAAACACATTTCTTTGTATTAAATAGGCTTTCCTTCATTTTATCAGGCTTTATTTTTATTATGTCTATGTGTTTGTGTATGTGCACGATTGCAGGTGACTCTGAAGGCCAGAAGTGTCAAATCCCCCTGAAGTTACAGGCAGTGAGCCACCAAGGAACTTGCTGGGTATTGAACTATGAGCCTATTTAAGAGCAAGTGCTCTTAACTACCAAGACATCTCCCAGCAGCTTGTACCTCCTTTTTTTTTTTTTTAATGTATTTGTGTGAGTAAAGGTCAGGCAACTTGTGGGAGTTGGGATTCTGCTTCCAAATTGTGGATCTCAGGGACTAAATTTGGTTTCCAGGTGTCCTAACCAGCTTTCCCCACCAACTCAATCCTTTTTTTTTTTTCCTTTTTAATGTTTCATTATTTTTATGTGAATGAGTGTATAGCATACATGTGTTTAACTGTACCCATGTCCTGTAATGCCTGCAGAGATCAGAAGAGGGTGTCAGATCACCTGAACTGGAGTTACAGATGGTTGTTAGCCAGCACGTGGGTGCTGGGAAACGAACCCAGACCTTCTGTTAGAGCAGCCAGTGGACTTAACCACTGAGCCACCTCACCAGTCCCAATCCCTTTTTTTTTTTTTTTTTTAATTGTTTCTTTTGAGACAGGGTCTCCCTGTAGACCCTGCTGGCCTGAAACTTGGTCCATATACCAGGCTGGCTCAATTTCACAGATCTTCAACATCCTGAGTGTTGGGATTAAAGATATAGACAATCAAATTCACCAAATTTCTTAATTCAGTCAGAATGAGCAATCTAGTTGACTGAGAATGTTAGGGTAACTCTGTAAATTATGAATTCCAATGCAAAAAAGTGTTATCACTGATATGTGTCATCAGTGATATGTATCACATCCAACACTAGGCTATCTTGTGTCTTTTAGGTTCACACTACAGTGTAAAATGACAATATTTGAGTAAGCACACCGAAATAATTTGTCATCTCTAATACTTGGTAAATTAATTTCAACAACACACATCAAAACACTTTTTTTAGAACTCAGAATTCATGGGTTGGAGAGCAGGCTCAGCAGTTAAGAGCATTGGCTGCTCTTGCAGAGGATATGGGTTCCATTCCCAGCACCAACATGGGGGCCAACAACTGCCCATAACTCCAGTTCCAGGGGATCTGATGCCCTCTTCTGCCCTCCAAGGGCACTGAACAACACAGGTACATAACATCTATCTGTAGGCATAACACTCATACACAAAAAATAAAAATATTTTTAAAGAAATAAAGAACTCAGCATTTACAGTTAACTTATTCCTATCTTCAATTCAATCATACAATGAATATTCTTAACTTTTGAATTCCTTAAAAAGAGACAGCAGGGGCTGTAGAGTTGGCTCTGCTGTTAAAAGCACTAGCTACTCTTGCTCAAGAGGACCCAGGTTTGGTTCCCAGCACTCACATGGCAGCAAATAACCATCAGTAACTCCAGTTCCATGGGATTCCACACCCTCTTCTGGCCTCCATTGGCACTGCACACATGCAGTGCACTTACATACATACAGGCAAAACACTCATATACATAAAAATAAAAATTAAAGAGAGGCAGCTAGAAGCCAGGTATAGTGTTTTAAGTCTAACTCCAGCATGCCAGAAGCAGATATTGGTGGATCTAAGTTCCAGGCCAGCCTGGTCTACAAAGTGAGTTCCAGGCCAGCAAGAGCTACACAAAAGAAGTTTTATAAAAGCCAGGTGTGGTGGTGTGCACCATTGTTTCCAGCACTTGAAAAGCAAATGGATCTTTGAGAGTTCCAGGCCAACCAAGGCACATATAATAATAAAAATACAATTTTAAAAAAACACACACACAGACACGGGGGGGGGGGAGCACACATGTGAGCTGGGTGGTTTCAGACCACTTCAGGTTACCTACTGAATTCCAGGCTAGAATGCTATTATGCAGCAAGACTTTTTCTCAAAAATAAAAAAGTGGGGCATGATAGCTCACACCTATAAACCAGTACACAGTAGGCAAGAGCTGGAGGACTGCCACAAAGGGAAAGCCAGTCTTGGCTACCATAGTTCAAGGGATACACAGCATGATATTGCCCCCAACCCCCCCCACAAAATCCCAGTATGAACAGATGGCCCTTAATGATTCAACCACATTGTGATAATGTAGCAATATCCATTCAGTAGAAATTTTATTTCCAATTTTGAAATTCCACTGGGCTAATAACAGCATCACCATGAAAATCAACTGATCAGTGTTAGAAGCAGTTCTGGATTCAATTTTTTCCCCCAGACCCCAACAAAACCCCACAAAACCCCAATGCAATGTGTTGCTAAGCTATGGTATTTGGTGTATAAGGTGCATTTTAAAGTCAGGTGTGGTAGCGTATGCCTGTAATCTCAGCACTTTAGACATAATTGTTCAAGGCCAACCTCAGCTACAAGGTCACCACTGTCAGTACTGGAGATTAACCAACTTCATGCATACTAGGCAAGCACTCGAACAAATGATAGAAATCTTCAGCCTTTCTATTTTTATTATAGCAGGCTAAGACATTGCTTAAAATTTGAATATTGCTTATGTAATAATTTAAACTCATTTCCCAAATGTTTTCTGAAATGTTTGGAAAAAGTAAAAATCTTTGAGGAGTAAATTATTCCCATGAGAAACTGTTAGTCAGTTGGGCGTGGTGGCACACGCCTTTAGTCCCAGCACTCCAGAGGCACAAGCAGGTAGATCTCTGTGAGTTCAAGGCCAGCCTGGTGTACATAGCCAGCTCCAAGTACAGGGAGACCCTGACTCAAAAAGACCAAAAAGTAAAAAAAAAAAAAGGAATCAGACTTTCATTTTTCTCCTCACTTTTCAAAAGGAAAACTCCTAATGTTGAATTAGTAATGTTTTCCCCCCTCTGTATTAAGCATTCCCTAGTATCTTTTATTTTTCCTTCTCCACAGCTCAGGCTGGAACCCAGTGACTGTATTTTTGCAACTAAGGTGTATAATAAGGCCAGCCTGGTCTATACATCTATACAGTGAGTTCCAGGCCAGACAGGGAGACTGCATTTCAAACACACACACACACACACACACACACACACACACACACACACACACACAGTCCTAATTAAGATGCTGCCGTCTGAATTTCAGTACCTGAGTGGTGAAATCCAACACCACTACTTGTTTAGGCATTATCAGTGAGATATGTATTTCCAAATACATTCAGGATCAGACAGAATGCACAAGACATAAGGTAGGTAGGACAAGAATCAACATCAAAAGTGTAAAATGTGGGGCTAGAGAGTTGGCTCAGTGGTTAAGAACACTGACCGTTCCTGCAAAAGACCTGGGTTCAAATCCCAGCATCCATATGGCAGCTAACAACTGTCCATAACTCTAGTTCCAAGGGATCCAACTAACTCATCTGTCCGCTGGCATTACACAACACTGGTGCACTTAAGACACATGCAGGCAGTACATGCATACACTTAAAAAAAAGTGTGAAATGTTGTTTGGTGTCGTAGCCCATGCCTTTAATCCCAGCACTTGGGAGGCAGAGGTAGAGGGATCTCTGAGTTCCAGGCCTGGCTGGTCTACATAGAGTTCAAAGCCAGCTGGGGCTACAGGAAGACCCTGTCTCAATAAAGACACCCCCCCCCAAAAAAAACCCAAAAGTGTAATGTTTGGATAGATGCACTTACCTAAAGTACAAAATCCAATGACTAAAACCAGAGCTGTTTTTAAATTGTTATTATATTTTAAGTGTATGAGTGTGTTGCCTGCATGTATGTAAGTGTACCTGTGTCATGCAATGCCCAAAGAAGCCAGAAAAGGGTGTTGGGTCCCCTGGAACTGGTTATAGTTGGTTGTTAGCCACCATGTAGGCACTGGGAACTGAACCTGGGTCCCCTGCAGGAGGGGACCCTTTGCTCCAGCCCCGCAAGATCTTTTAACCATTTTGAGATGATCCTGACTCTGGAATTTCTGACTTAGAAAATTCTGAAACAAACACTCCGGTTCCCTTTCCCATGCAATCTCAACACTGGTCTTGATGGTTGTAAAGGAGGGAGCGTGCTGAAGCTGGCCTCACAGCTTTGTAGTCTGGTATAAGCACGTGGGCCAGATTCAAACAGGGCAGAAAAAAAGTAAAAATGAAAATTCTGAAACAATTTTAAAAGTCCTAGCATAGTTTGATACTTGCTATTGTTTAAAAAAAATTCTGTGAATAATATTATGTGCAAAATAATTTTTACGAAGTATGTAGTTAGGTAACTTTAAAAAAGACAATATTTTGTGAACAAGATGAGACAGGATTACATAATATACTATTCACTCCTATTGTTTCCCCATACAACAAAACGATAGTAATTTATCAAAAAATTAATTTTAATTCACTCATAAAATGCTTTTATGGTAAAAGGCAATAGGAGGAATTATTTCAGGAAAATGCTAAAATAAGTTATTATGACTATTATGAATAAATACTGGAAAGGCATGAAATGGGGATTCTGTTGCAAACAATAAACAAAATCATTTCTAAAGTGGGATGGTTATGACCAGGGGTGGTAGTGCAGGCCTTTAATTCCAGTACTTGGGAGGCAAAGGAGGGGGAAATCGCTGAATTCCAGGCCAGCCTTTGTTAAGAGACAAAAAAAAAATTGAGGAGATTATTTGGAGTCTTAAGAATGTTACTTCTAAAAGTTGTCACTTCCTGAGAGAAAAGAAAAATATCATGTAGTCTACATAAATACAGTCACATAATCTCAAAAAAGAAAAATATAGACAACCTGCATGATCTCAAAATTTATGTTTTCATTGTTCAAATAAAAAATGTTCTGTATTAGATCTGAAGTATAAAAATGTACTTGAAGAATGTTCCAAGTCCAGAATTCTAAAACCGTGGCATTGTACTACAAATCTGATCCCAAATGTAAGGCAGAACACTCCAACCTACTCACACCCCACAGTTTAAAGTCAAGAAAATGGAAAATTTCTGCCCTTCTTTCTTTTCCAGCAAGATACTCCATGTTAAGAAACTATTTGGTGTGGTGGTGCATGCCTTTAATCCCAGTACTTGGGAGGCAGAGGCAGGAGGATCTCTGTGAGTTCAAGGTCAGCCTGGTCTATATAATGACTTCCAGGTCAGCAGGAGCTACAGGGAGACCATCTCAAAAAGATTAAAAAAAAAAAAAAAAGAAAGAAACTGTTTGGTGAACCAACACAACTCATATGCCGTAGTAAATACTGAGTATTTGTTCTCCATCAGGATTATTTTAGATAAGGAAAGTTATCTAAAGGAAGTTTTTCTAGTTAGCACAGAAAAAGAATTGGCAGTGATGGTGTAGGGGGGAACAGTGGCCAAACTCTATATACTCAAATAATATCATACTTTTTTGGGGGGTCTTTTTGAGAAAGGGTCTCCCTGAAGACCCAGCTATCCCGGAACTCACTATATAGACCAGACTGGCCTTGAACTCAGAGAGATCAGCCTGCCTCTGCCTCCCAAGTGCTGGGATTAAAGGCATGCGCCACCATGCCCAACTACCATACACTTTAAGTGCAGCATTAAAACTTGTTTCTGAGGTTTTCCTTCCAATTTGGGTGTACTGATCATTAATCATATTAATCACATAACCAAATGTATGTATTTTAACATCGCCTAACTGAAAGGGTAAGTGCAGTGCCCACAAATTTCTGGGGAGGATTAAGGAATGATCCTTTTACTCTCTACTCAAAACACTAAAGGCAAGAAACCAAATCATTTATTTTAAGCAATCCAATTATCAACTCTGGTGATTTATCAGAAATTTATGTTTAGTGTGGTTTGTACCTAATTAAAAAGACAAACTGAAATAGACATGACTTCCCACTTATGCTCTGTTTTGTATTTTAACCATGTAAGTTATTTTTCCATACAAGACATGGTAGAACACACATTCTTCTGGAATACATTATTGTTTATTGTTTCAAGTGGATGGAATATATAAATTCCCATTGAGTAGTTTAGTGTGGCCCTGAATCACATACCAACAGGCTAAATGGAGACTTTATTTATATTTTGTGTATTTGTGTATTTACCATAAATCGTCTTAATAACAAACCCCAAACTTTCTTTTATGTCTTGGCCCAACTCAGCTGCTTAGTCCTTCCTTTGCATTGATAATATACAAGTGTAGCGCGCAAGGAGCCTTTCAAGTTGAAGAAATAAGGTGCTTTCTACTGAGTTACTAAAATCATTAAAATTTTATGTTGACTCTTGATGACTAGGAATCTGTCATCCGATGTAAAACATCAAAATGGCTAATAATAAACAGTATATGCTGACTGGGAACTGTGGTAGCTTTTAAGTTTCTCAGAAAGTTTCAATGTTTTATGGTTAGAAGAAACAACCACTGGTGCCACTAAAGGTGTTCCATTTCTGTAGCACCTGTACAGTGGAAATTTACAGGGTTTCTTTCACTATCAAGCAAGAGAATCTTACTACTCATAGAGGCAAAGATAGAGAAGAAACTGGAGAGAGATGTGTATATTAGTTCTAAAAGTGTGAAAATGTAATAAACACTTGGAAAAAAATCAGCAATTTCTTCTATATGCCTTGCTACAAACTCAAAAGGGAGCAAGATGGGTGTCTGATAAGCTAACACAGGGAAGCATCCACTGATAATGCCCATCACTGTACTTTAAACTTAAATTACACGAGTAGAAAAGTTATGCTTATTAATAGTTTAATGTATGAAGGAAACATCCAGATTTCTGAATATGAAGGTACATATCTCACATTAATTTAAGTCTACATAAAGTAGAGCCTCTATACTGACATATTGAAATTTACTTTCTGCTTAGCCTTTTCTGTTATGTAAACAATTGTACATTTATTTGCCATTCTAAAACTTCAGGATCAAGTTTACATAATTTCGCTAAATTTTCGTGTTTGCTCAGAAGCAGTTTACAGTACTAAAACCAACCAGCCAAAGAACAGCTTCAACAGAAAGTTATGTCCAAAGGGAAGAGGGAAAGAAAAAAGAAAAATGGTAAGAAAAATGCTAACTAAGGTAAAACAGATGATGATGATGGGGAATGGGCAGTCACAAATGTTCACAGAAAATAGGTCAGTTAGTAAGTTCTTCTGCAAAAAGCCTACACACTTCAGTCAAGCACATCAGTAGAATGATTTGGGGGCATAAAAAAATGTTTTTCGGCCACTTGTGATTTCCTCTGAATGAAAGGAATCTGCAGGCTAAAAACCTGATCCTCAGCCAAGCTGGTTCATATGAACACTGTTCATGTGAGGTGTCCAGGGTCCAGTCCACACCTATGAATATAGAGCATGCATTTTATTAAATACAGTTTCAACATATATTTGGGTTAAAATAAAACCCTTAAAAACTAATGAAGTATCTAATGACTAAAACAATTTCATTCAATCTGTAACATATAAGCAGGTACATATAATCAGTTAATCCCAACCCTTAGGAGGAAAAGGCAGAGGACAAGAGTTCAAGGCCATCCCTGGATACATACATAGTGCATCTCAAAGACAGTCTGAATAGCATGAGACCTAGTCTCAAAGAACTGAAGGGAGGAAAATATTGCAACATACTAGGAAATAAGAGGAAAAACCAGTAACATCATTTGCCCCCTTGCATTCCCTTGCAGTGCTAGAGACTAAACCCAGGGCCTTAAGAATATTAAGCACAGTCTATCACTAAACTATACCTCCTAGTCCCTAAAACACATTTATATGAAACTCATTACTTTAGCTGAGCATGGTAGCACATACCTTTAATCTCAGCATTTGGGAGGGAGAGGCAAGCGGCTCTCTGTGAGTTCAAGGCCAGCTTGGTCTACATAGCGAGTTCCAGGCCAGCTGGGGCTACAGGGAGATCCTGTCTCAAAAAGACCAAAAGTGTACATACACATACACATACACACACACACACACACACACACACACACACACACACACACACACACAGGGTCTTTTTGAGACAGGATCTCCCTGTAGCCCCAGCTGTCCTGGAACTCACTATGTAGACCAGGCTGGCCTTGAACTTAAGAGATCTGCCTGCCTCTTCCTCCCGAGTCCTGGGATTAAAGGCGTGCATCACCACACCTGGCTAGATAGTAAATTTTTAAAAAATTTTTTATTTATTTACTTATTATTTTTTTTCTTTTTGAGACAGGGTCTTCCCTGTAGCCCCACTGCCCTGGAACTCACTATGTAGACCAGGCTGGCCTCGAACTCACAAAAATCCACCTTCCTCTGCCTCCCAAGTGCTAGGATCAAAGGCGTGTACCACCACACCTGGCTTATTTATTTTTTAATGTGTATTAGTGTATTGCCTGCATGTGTATAAGTGCACCTGTGTTGTGCAATGCTTGAAGAGGTCATAAAAGGGTATCAGGTCCCCAGGAACTAGAGTTATTTGTTAGCTGCCATGTGGATGCTGGGAATTGAACCTGGGTCCTCTGTAAGAGCACTCAGTGTTCTTAACTGCTGAGCCATTTCTCCAGCCCCACATCATTAGTAAATATTAATGTTAGTAAATAATTTTATATGAAGATCACTTTGCAACTTAAATTCTTTATAATCCATACAGAATAATTTATAAAATGTTTTTACATAATTTTAGCCCTAACCTACTCCTTTAAGTACCATTTCTCATACACTTTTGCTGTATTCTGGCTGTGTTAGATCTTCAGTTTTCCCTACTGGCTGTACTCATCACACTCTCTTGCTACTATGGATCACCCATACTCTGTATTTCATGAACACTAAGTTGAAAAATCAATCTTACCGTTTGAGGACCATTATTTTCTGTGGAGCTTGACACCATCTTTATCAGTGAATTCCAAGAGGGGTCTGCAGCATGAGGGCCATTAAATATGGGTCCTCCAGTACCGTCAGGGATAGGTGCTACTGGAGGAATCATTGCATTCCCATATACAGAAAAAGGCATACCCTTAAAGAGGAGAAAAAAAAAGAGATTAACAATCAAGTCATTGTTTTCTTTTTCTTTGTCAGGCCCCTTACTGCCCCTCAATTCAACAATCTTGCAAGGGCTACACAGTGAGACCCTATCTCAGAAAACCAAAAAAGAAGTACTTGGAAGGCAAAAGCAGAACCACCAAAAG